CTGCTCGCCGTTCTCGCATACGCTCGTCCCAGCGCCGTAGCTGACGACGCAGGCTCCAGATTATCCTCCTGCGTCTTGCTGATCAGCGACGCAAGGCCCGCTGCCGCTGTCAGCCTTTCTTGCACGCGCTGATCTCTGCAATGCTGCTGATGACAAGATGCTCCAAATTCTCGTCCCGCATCTCGCTGCGCAAATGCAAGCCGCTGCCATGTTTTGCATTTCCGACTCGCCCTGATTCCGTCAACGTGGAACTCGACACCCGCGTGTGACTGAGCCTTGCACCTCCGTGGACAAAGACAGCGAGCCTTCCCGCTGTCCGACTTGCTCGCGCAGGCTGGCCATCTTTGAGTAGACGCAGAAGTCTTGCTCCAGCCTCCTTTGCAACACGCCTCTGAGCAGCGACGGGGCCCACTGCCACTGCCCGCCTTTCTGGCACGCGCCGACCGCAGCGTTGTCGCCGACTAGGTCTGACCCGTGGACGGCGTCCTCGAAATCTGCACGAACTGGCATGTGGTGCTGGACACGCTGCCGAAAGGATGCATGATCACGTGGGGCTCAAACCTCGCACTCCGCGCACACTCCTGCGCGCTGCCTGCTGCGCCTGCTGCGTGCTGCTGGTAGTGCTTACCCCCGCCGCGTGCGCCTGCTGCTTGTGGCTGCAGGGCGCCGCTGCTCCCAGCGATAGGCTCGGCTCCCCGAGGGCGCCGTGGGCCCTCGGGGGGGGGCCTTCTGGAGCCATCCTGGGGCCGCCACGTGAGCTTGGTAGACCGCCCCTGGGGGCTCCCCGGGGCTGCCGGGGGGCCGTGACATCTTGGAGGCGCGCCGGGGCACTCCGAGGCCATGTCACGCACTGCCTGGTCATGTACGCCGGAGGCGAGCTGGGAGGCGCCAGGGACGGCATCGCCCCCCCCCCCCCGAGCGGAGCTGCCGAGGCAGCGCCGACCGGAGCCAGGCCTAGGGAAACGGAGTGCCCTCCTCGCACACCTGTGCACGATCACCACGGAGTCTGTTGCCTGTCGGTCTTCGGGCACTCTTCCGGGCTTCCTATAGAGGCATCCCCGAGGTTCTTGGGGTCATCTTGGGCGAGCGGGGGCCTCCTTTTGGGCCGTCTTGGGGGCCCCGTGGGCCGTCTTGGGGGCCAGGCCAGGGAGGGTCGGGGCCGTCTTGGAGCGCGCTTTGGAGCTTTCTCGAGGGGCTCTTGGGACCCTCTCGGGGTTGTCTCGGGGGGCACGTGGGGCTCTCTGGAGCCGTGCTGAGCCTCGTCTGAGCTGTCTTGGGAACCTCTGGGGCCGTCAGGGAGCCCTCGTCGACGCTCCCTGGGCCGCCAGGAGGCATCCTGGAAAGCGGTAGAGCCGTCTGGCCCCGCTCTGGACCCGAAATTGAACGAATTTAGAACGTCTTTGACAAGCACCAGGACATGTATGATTTTAGCGTCCTAGGCCCGCTGGCAGGGCCGTCGTGGGGGCCCTCCTCGCCTATATAAAAAAACCCTTTGGGGCCGCCGTGGGGGGTCCTTGCGAGTCCGCTGGGGCCGCCTCGGCTCTCTCTCTTGAACGTCGCAGAGCTATCTCATGGGCGTCGGCCCATCCTGCAACCGTGCCTGGATTGAGGGTCAGCGTCCTCACGGATACTTCTTGAGGTCTCTTCGGAATGGTCCTAAAGGCATCTTGGGGACAGTTCCGGACGGCAGCGAACGGCAGCGGCACGCAGAACGAGTTGTTGGTGTATTTCTTTTGACGATCGCCACAAGAAGGCCCAAGAGGCCCCCAAGAGGGTGCTAAAAAGGGCCCCAGAAGGCCCGTAGGCGGTCCAAGAGGCTTCTGAGGCTGGCAACAGTAGCGTCAATTTGCTGGCGCAACCTGTCACCAGGAGAAGTTCGAGGAGTCAGGATCGAGGAGATCGAGGGGTCGGAGGGAGGGGGGAAGCGAGGAGCGGTCAGCGAGAAGCGAGGAAACAGGGGTGAAACACGGATGGGTATCAAAATGTGGCTCTCGCTCAAGCGACGCGTACGATCGTCTTACAAGATTGCAACCGTTTCAAAGATGGAGCCTGGCTCGTTTTCAAAATGTGGCTCTCGTCTAAAAAACTTGCAACAGCTTCAAGGATTGAGACCTGATCCTTTTCAAAATGTGGCTCTCGCCTCAGCGCCGCACACATCCATGATACCCAACCGTCACCATCCGATGCAAAAGAGCACTACTCGGTGCACACCCAGCCGACCCAACCCTCAGCATCCGATGCAGAATAATCTTCGCACATCCATACGACCCAACCTCACCATTCGATGTACCAAACCGTTCGGCGCACACATGCACGACCACACCTCACCATTCGATGCAAAAAAACACTGCACGCATCCATCCGACCCAACCCTCACCATCCTACGCAAAAAAACATCATACTTTGGCGCACAGCCATCCGACCAGACCCTCACCATCCTATAGAAAAGATTGGTTGGCGCGCGTCTGCTGATCTTCGACATCGACCCACCCCCTGGCCCTGAAGAGCCCGTGGGCACAGAGGGCAAAAACAAGCACGATAGCACAAACGATACATACTAAGTCGACACGTTTCGGGCACCCCTCGCCGACTCCGGTTTGGGATCCCAGCGCTCCCCAGGCTGCCCCAGGCGCTCCCAGACGCTCCAAGACGCTCCCGAGCGCTACCAGATGCTCCGATCCCCCCCCCCAAGCGTTCCCAGGCTCGCTGTCGCCACCAGCAGCAACAGCATCCACATCCTCATCTTCACTGCCCCCCTCGCCGAAGGAGGCCGCAAGGAGCAGATGCATTGACATCGCGTTGGCGAGTGGACCACAAACGATTTCCAAAATGAGGCTACTTTGCTGGCGCCGCACACCATCGCTTCACACAGCCAAAACCACACACACACACACACACACACTAAAAGAGAGACAGGGCCGGTCGTTTTCAAAAAGGAGCTCTTGCCCTGGCGCCGCGCACTCTCGGCTTCCAAAGTGTCCTTAGCTGCGCGAGTGGATGACGAGTCCTCTCCAAGACGGTAGGGGCTTTGGGCACGGAACCATCAGATGAGGAATCCAGGGTCTGTAAGCCAGTGGAACTCCAATCGTGGATCGGCCACGGATACCACCGCCGCGGTCTTCAGATTAGGGATCCTCCGAGGTCTGCAGCCTCCTGGGAACATTCCTTGAGGAACTCCCCGACTGCATTGGGGTCTCCCCCTGGCCTCGCGCACATTCGAATTCAAACCCCACAATCTACACTACCATGACCATTTCTAGATCTCTACGGCCCAGCGGCCCCTAGATTGTGCACAAACCAACACGGATGGCCCGGACCCAAATGGAGACGGGATCCTATTTCGAAACGGAACTCTCTCATGAGACTTCCGCGAAGCATACGTCCACGACTTTGACATCCTGCGACGCTTAGATGGATGGAGGGCATGTTATTATCAAAATGAAGCTTTCCCTGCTATCCCTGGGCCTCCTACAGGAAGGTCGCGTGGGACTTCCACGGAGCATACGTCCACAACTTCGACATGCTGCAACACTTCGACGGATGGAAAGAGTGAGTTTCTCAAAATGGGGCGGCTAACCTGGGCATCCTTCAAGTGGGTGTAGAACCGTTTACAACCGGCGCCCACGTCTAGCTGGCGGCCCGACCGGCAGCTCGTCATTCATGGGAGGCGCCTGCAATAGGGGTGCGTTGCAGCATCGGTTGATGCATCGTAGGATGTCTCTGGTCCTCCTCCTCCACCTCCACCCCTTCCTCCTCCAACTCCTCCTCCTGCTCCTCACCCTCCTCCTTCTCCTCCTCCCTCTTCTCCTCCTGCTCCTCCTCCTCCTCCTCATCCTCCTCATCCATTCCTTTTCCTGATAAATAACTTGTTCATGTCGCATCCCGAGGCCAGCTTTTAGGGCGGGCCAGGCGTTTCGCCTAAGATTTCCAAGCTGAGAAAATTGGCAAGAGTTTCGCGGATTGAGGGCGGGTGGTTTTCAAAGTGTGGTTCTCGCCTTAGCGCGGCGCACATTCGTTAAACAAACGCTAGTGTTTCACGGATTGAAGGTGGGTCGTTTTCAAAATGTGGTTCTCGCCTCAGCTCGGCGCACATGTGTTCTAAATACTTGCAAGAGTTTCGCGGATTGAAAGCGGGTGGTTTGGCTCTCGCCTTAGCGCGGCGCACATTCGAGCTTCACGGGTTGAGGGCGGGCCGTTTTCAAAATGTAGTTCTCGCCTTCGCGCGGCGCACATCCGTTTTAAACATATGCAAGAGTTGGACGGATTGAGGGCGGGTCGTTTTCAAAATGTGGCTCTCGCCTTAGCGCGGCGCACACTCCTTTTAAAAATCTGCAAGCGCTTCACGGATTGAGGGCGGGTGGTTTTCAAAGTGTGGCTGTCGCCCCAGCCCCGCGCACAGTCGTTTGTAAACGATGCAAGAATTTCACGGATGTCCATCATCAACGTACCAGAAATTGTGCTTTGAAAGGATTCGGGGTTACGCGGGCGCAACAATTATGTTGGTTCGCTGTGTTGAATTCCCAAAAAAACGGCCTTGTGCCACGGTTCGAGATCGTCAACACGCAACAGTCCGGTTGATCCGTGGCATTAGAATCCCGAAAACAGTGTTTTGACATGCTTCAGGGTCTTCAGACGGTTGTCTTCCAAACGGGCAGTTCCCCCAATGGAAATGAACCGTTGCACGGGCCTGTGAAGAGGAAGCTTGGAGGGAGGGTTTATCCCAACATCGTTGATGACTCCAGGGTTTACACTGGTCCACCTCCTCCTGCTCCTCCTGTTCCTTTTCCTGCTCCTGCTCTTCATCCTCCTCCTCATCATCCGCATTTCCTTTTCCTCCTCCTCTCCTCCGCTTCCTCCTTTTCCTCCTCCACCTCCTCTTCCTCCTCCTCTTTCTCTTCCTGTTCCTCCTCCTCCTTCCCTTCCTCATCCTCCTTCTCCTCCCCAAACACGAGGAAGAAAACGACGACGGCGAAGACCTGCCCGCGGCGTGGAAACGGATCCTCCCGCCCCATGGGCGCCGTCTTGGTGGTAAGCCTCCTCTTCACCTGCGGGGCCGATTCTAGACGGGGGCGTGCGCAGGACATGGAGGGGGAGGAGGACGCAAGAAAAGGGAGGAGCGATGGGTAGGAGGAGGAGGAGGAGGAGGAGGAGGAGAAGGAGGAGGAGGGAGGAGGAGGAGGAGGAGGACGGAGCAGGGAAGAGGAGGGAAGAAGGAGGAGGAGGGAGGAGGAAGGAGGAAGGGAGAAGAAGAAGAAGAAGAAGAAGGACAAGGACAAAGACATCCGCATGAGGGGCCAACGTCAGAGCATCCACACGGGCGATATACGCGCTATTGCCAAAATCCCGTGCGCGCGGTTGTGCTATAGCCCTGCATTCTCAGTAGGGCCGGCAGGGGGCATACCCCGTAGCTCAAGGGCCGAACTCCGAAGTGGCCCCGTGAGAGAGGCTCGCTACCTTACGTCGGAAGTCCCATCGGGTCAGCGCGGGGGGAGCAGCTGCTGGCCCTTACGGGTGCCCTAGGGGAGGAAACGCGCGGGCTTAGCACGGCGCCCAAGCCAAGGGGGGGGAGACGACGGCACGACCTCAAAAGGAGGACAGGGGGGAGAAACGGAAGGCCCGAGACCCCAAGCTGTTGCTGGGGGGGTCCTACTTCTACAGTTTGAATTCCGCGCTCCCCTCTTCCACTCAGCTCACTTCTCGGTCGTTCCGAAAGATGCCCCACGTGTTGTCACATCTGTACTATGGTACCCCGCGAGGTAGCCCGGCTTCCCCATCAGAGTGTGCGAGGTAGAGCATACTGGAAGTCACGGTCACAGGTAGGACCAATGAGGAGCACAGTGGTGGGCATCATGTCGGCCACACGTTTCCCTCCACACCCTGCAGTTGCGTACCTGATGGTATTGGTAGTTTTGTTTAGTCTTAAGAATATATATATATATATATATATATATATATATATATATATATATATATATATATATATATACATATATATCCCATTGCGATGGCGGCGCGCGCGTACTGTTGTGCCCATATTGTCCGCCATGAGTAGCACTCCGAGAAAATTCGTTAATGTTTATCTGGGCTGCTCGTGGGCACGGCCAGCTCATTCTTTGCCTAGATTAGCACTCCGAAAAACCTCGTTAACGCTTCCCCTTGGCAACCTGCAGGCTCCATTGGGTGCACTCACTGGTGGCCGCTTGAGCTGGCCGTCGTCGTCTCCTCCGACTTGGGGTAGCCGAACATATCCGCGAAGATTTCGGTGCCATCCAGCATGGTTTGGTGCTGTCCTTTAGATCCCGGCGCTCCTTCAACCTCTTCACTTCCTCTGGGTCCATGTTGTCCTCGTTCTGCATATCACTGATGGCGACTTTCATTACCTTGTGGAGGTTATCCTCGTCATTATTCACGATCTTCAGCGCTTGCTCGCACCAGCTCGGCACTGTGAAGGCATTCTTCCCTTGTCTCTCCCATTAGTCCAGAGGAGGAGGGAGGAAGGAGGAGGAGGGAGGAGGAAGGAGGAGGGAGGCAGAGGAGGAGGGAGGAGAAGGAGGGAGGAGGGAGGAGGGAAGGATGATGGCAACTCGGGATCGAGACTCGGAGGGCCTGTCGAGACAACGGCGGCCCTCCCTGGCGTTTGTCCCTTTTTTTGGGAAACTCCCTGGAGGCCTCCCGTCGCCGCGGTTTGGCAACCTCTTGGGGAAAACGGGCCAAGAGGAACCCTGAGAGGGTCCAGTGACCGCGTTTGCTCTTCACCGCTTCGGGCGCCGTCTCGCTGCGAGTTCCACGCTCGATGCTGCCAGAGAAGGGCCCGAATCGACGTTATAAACATGGCGAGCACACTCGTTCATGGGAACTGATCCGTGTTCAAGAACCCTTGCTGTTAGAAGAGGGAGGAGGGAGCTGCACACGCGCGCGTCGTCGCGCGCATGCCCGAATCCTTCGAAAACCACGGGTGCCGTACGGATGTCAGAATCGAGTGTCCCGAAAGCGAATGTGCAACATGACGTGTGTGTGTTTATAAATACATATCTATATATATATATATGTATATATACAAATGTATATCATACACATATATTCATAGACACTACTAAATACACAGATGCACGTCTATGTCGCGCGCGTTCTCTTTCACATTTTTGCGAGAACCACGGGTTGTCCAACATCTCTACCAGATGAGGTCATGCGTGCCTCTGCCGCGCGCATGTCGAAATCGTGTGAACGCCCTTGCGCGCGCGTCGGGGGAGGGCACGACCCCTGCCGAACAATACCACGCGGGCCACTCGCGCCCGTTGGCCGCGCGCGGACGTTGGAATCCTTCTACGTCCTTCATCACCGACACGTGGATACCATCATCGCCACGGGCGTGATCAGCATCCGCGCCGTCATTGGCCTTGCCGCCATCATCGTCATCCTCGCCGCCAGCATTGCTACTACCATCATGTCTGCCGTTGCTACTTTCGCGATGATACCGCGCCCACCCGAATCACCGACTCGCACTGAAGTGCCCGCGCGTGAGCGCGGCCTGCAAGACGCGCTGGATGTCCTCAGCGGTCAGCGCCACCGCGGCCGCGTCGGTCGCGCCAGACTAGCTGGCCGCTCTGCGCGCGAGCCCGCCCGCACTAGCGCGGCCGCAGCGACGCGCCAGCCAGCGCCAAGCAGTCATCGCAACCGCCGCCGCATGGGTTTTGCAAACCAAGTTGTGGGTGGGTGGGTGGGTGGGATGATTGCAAGCAGAAGAGAAAACAACTCACTGCGAACACGGGTTAATTTTCCTTTCTGAAAGAAGAACAGACTCTACCCCCCCCTTCTCCCGGAGTTGACGATCCCCCCTGGGGTGTTGCGATTTCACATTTATTCGACACGCTCGTCCACCCACCTGTGAACTCATACTATCCTTGCCAAACCAGCATCGACCCCCCCCCGCCATCCTCTGCATCTATATATATATATATATACATTAACAGAAAACGCGCGCACTTCTTCATCTTAAGAAGCAGTAGCGCCCCTTGGAGAAAATACCACAAACTCATCACGCGCGCGCCCATGCCAAAATCGTACCAAAAACAATGTGTCCGCAAGCATTTCAACACAACAACCTGAACAACCTCAGGGCATTGCAACAAAATGTTTGCAAATGTCCTGTCCGCGCGCTCATGCTACAACCAAACAAAAAACAATGGGTTCTTATGAATTCTGCCAAATCCAGCGACTTCACGTCACCGCGCGGTGCACCCGCGATACTCCTGTCATGCGCCGAGGGCGCGAACCCCGTGCAAAAAACTACCACGCGGGCCACATGCGCGCGCGCGCTGCGCGCGCATGACCAGTCTGACGGATTTGTTGAACTTCTGCGGAAACCAGTTCCCCCCCTCCTCCTCCTCCTCCTCCTCCTCCTCCTCCTCCTCCTCCTCCTCCTCCTCCTCCTCCTCCTCCTCCTCCTCCTCCCAGAGGTCTCGAGATGTCCTCGAATCTCCGCTGGCGGCCTCCCGGTGGCGTCCAGAGGTCCGTGCCCGCCTCCCGCGAGGTGGTCTCCGAAGGGCCTCTGAAGGCCCGGGACAGGACCAGCGCTCAAAGCCACCTCTCTCCTCCCTCCTGCCTCCTCCCTCCTCCCTCCGGGATGTGTGACTGCATGGATCGCGTCGTGGCGACCTGCTGGAACAAGGAGAGGCGGCACTGCCACCGCCGCCAGCGCGAGGCGCCGGGGAGTGTCCTGTGGTGGTGCGGTCCCCTCCTCTCGCTCGAGAAATCCCCTACAGGTGGAGGCCACTCCACAAGAGAAACCCTCCACAAGAAACCCAACCCTGAGACCCCAAGGCGTCCATCGATTTTTGGTGTGGGAGCGTGACGCTTTCCATGGCAACACCATCAGAATCCACAAAACCCAGGGCACCCTGGAGGCAAGCAGGGTGGTTCTTGGCATGGGTCTCCACTGTATCCCCAGCTCGGGGAGGCCTCGTGTACCCCCTACGCTAGAGGTGCACCCCCTGGCGGTGGTGTCGCCTCTCCTCCCGCCAAGCCGTGTGCGTAGCCCTCTTTGGCCTTGCGCACAAGGGGGTGGGGGGAGGGGGGAAGGCTTCTTGGGAGGAGACTGCTTCTTAGAAGGCGTCGGCCTTATCTAGGATGTAAAACCCCCCCTCCCCCTACCCCCCTCTGCGCGTGGCCGGCCTCTGACACCGAGTGGATCGTTCAACCTTGGCAGGCCGTGGCCTTCTGGCAGCCGAGATCGCTCCAGACTGGCCGCTGCCAGACCGCCAACCGCCTCCAAAGCGGAGCGCCCGCGCTGGCGTTGCCGCCGCGTCGGCCCCTCCGCCCACATCACGGAAAAAGGTGCACACGGTGGGAAATTAAGGCCGCGGGGGCACCGCCTCGGGCGCTCCTCCTCCGCCTCCTGCTCCTGCTCCTGCTCCTCCTCCTCCTGCTCCTCCTCCTGCTCCTCCTGCTCCTGCTCCTCCTGCTCCTGCTCCTGCTCCTGCTCCTGCTCCTGCTCCTGCTCCTGCTCCTGCTCCTGCTCCTCCTCCTCCTCCTCCTCCTCCTTCTCCTCCTCCACTGCATCCTCCTCCTCTCTCGACCCAAGCTCTCTGCGGCCCTTCCCGCCCTGCCCCCGCCCTGGCCTGAAACAAATTCTGGGCGGAAACACCGCCGCTGCGGCAAAAGCACGTGCCGAACGGATCTCTCAGGGACGCGACAGACACTGGCCGCAGTCACAGACATCGCTGGCGACGCGCACAAGGGGGGGGGCAAGGGGAGGAGGGAAGGCTTCTTTGGAGGGGGCTGCTTCTTAAGAGGCGCTGGCCTTACACCTTGAGACAGGGCCCGATGCCTTCTAAGAAGCAGGGGTGCTTCTAAGAAGCCTTCCCCCCCCTCCCCCTGCCCCCCTCTGCGCGTGGACGAGCTCTTTCAATCCGCGAGCGCCAGACATGTATGTTCCGTTTGCTCCCAGCTCCGGGGCACGTTCCGGGAGGGCCGAACAAATATTTTGTAAACGATTTTTTGTAATGCAAAAAACTCCGATGACGTGGCGCGTTTTCGAGGAGGAGCCTCCAAACCCTCGACGGCTTCCCAAGGACCTTCTTGCCGTCCCTGATCGCTTCTCGACGATCCTGCGGCCCAAAAGGCGGGCTCTAAGCGCCGAAACCAGCGAAACACATCCGTCTTGACACTGCTACGGTCGGAGAACGCTCACAACAAACAGAAAGCATTCGAAAACGCAGCAACAACGGAATTAGCCGTAAAAACATCGCCTTCCAGTCGTTGGAGGTCTGGGCCTGGGCCCGTCCTCCCGAGGCCACCTTCGGGCGGAGGGCGCCTTCTCCAGCAGGCCGGGGCCCTCCCCGACGAGCGAGGTGGCAACGCTGCGGAGCTCCTCTTCCTCGGCAGCACGGGGTCTGTGTTCAAGGCCGCGCTAACGTCGCTGTTGGTTGACGGCGATGTTGGGAATCTGGCTTTTGCGACGCCGAACTCGCGCAGAACGAATTGTAGGAAATCGCGAACCACGCTTTCCTACAGTTCGAACACAGAATCGCCGTTGCCTACATCGGCGTTGGCGTGACTAGGATGCGTGCCCTGGGGAAGGTGCCAAGGCAAGACGACTACACTCGAAACAGCCCTGAGATCCTGGCGTCAAAGTGACTCACACTGGGCGAGTTTGCCTCTTTTCGGGCCGATGGGACCCTCACCGAGCGGTCGTCGGGCTGGAAACATGTGAGCGACGATCGGAGATGGCATGGCGACCCTACGCCGCGACTTACGCGGGCCGCCAGCGCGGCACGCCACATTGGAAACGAGGGCGCTCGCGCGCGACCTTACGCGGGCAGCCTGCGCGCAAAGGTCGGTGAAAACGACCCCGTTTTCCTCGCGTCCTCCCACAGTCCGCCGGCGCGGCCGCCCCAGTGACAGGCGTGGGCGCGCGAGGCGTACGGACTCGGGAGCGTTTTCTTACTCGGCGCTTCGGCATTCGGCGCAAGGGGGGGAGGGGGGGGGGGTCTGGCTCCGGACCTCCGCTTCGTGCGACTGTTTGCAGTAGTGCGTCCAGTGGGGGAGACTCCACCTGCTCGAAACAGGCGCCAAAAGCAACCAAGATCTACTCCCTGGGGGAGGGGGAGGGGGAGGGGGTGCGAGGGCCCGCGACGATCGGCAAAACAATGAATCAGAAAACGATCACCCTGTGTACGCATGTCACATGTGCACAGACAAAAAAAAAAACATCAATGCTGCAGAGGTTGCTGCCACACGGCTTATTTCGGGGAGATGTAAGAGGTCGGGTACGGGGGACGCGGGTTGGCCTGACGGGGCCATCATACAAATGACGAGACCCCGTCTGAAATTTGACGCGAGCTCCCGCTGCAAGCATCCCACGAAAACTGGACCGCCAAAATCCAGGACGCGCTCGCCGAAAAGCGTCGGCAAACCCGAGTTGAGGCTTACTCGAATCTTACGTTTCCCCGATGATTGATTATTTCATTCATTCGTTGATCATGTTGCAGAAAGCTGAAGTCCAGGGCTCGGGCCGCGAGTGTCCACGAGGTACACGTCGTTCATTTCTAATCGTGATCATTTCTAAGTGTGCTCGTTTCTAATTGTTCCTGGCCCCCTAGAGGCCCAGGACAGAACAATTAGAAATGAAAGGATCTTGGCCCCCAAAAAATCCAAGAACTTCCGAAGAATTAGAAATGAACAGTGTGCACGTTTCCCCGATGATTGATTGATTGATTCATATTCGTTGATCATGCTGCCGAAAGCTGGAGTCCAGGGCTCGGGCCGCGATTTGGCGGCGCGCAGAGGGGGGTAGGGGGAGGGGGGAAGGCTTCTTAGAAGCACCCCTGCTTCTGAGAAGGGGCGGTCCTTCTCTGCAGATGTAAGGCCGGCGCCTTCTCAGAAGCAGCCCACCTTCTAAGAAGCCTTCCCCCCTCCCCCTGCTTACCAGCCTGGAACATATCCCTATCCTTATGCTGGGCACCTCCTCATCACGACGCCAATCTTAGGGATTCCCTTATTTTTGGAGGGCGAATCCCTAAGACTGTCATCGCCTCTTGGCGTGTCAGTCTTAGGGATAGGGATACGTTCGAGGCCGGTAACCTGCCCCCCTCCTGCGCGCCGTCAAGCGATCGCCCACGAGGCAGCCGGCTGCCCGCGCTGCCCGGCTCTCTCCGCGAGGGCCCCGGGCGCGCGCGAGCATCGGGTTGGCCGGGGAAGGGTTCCACGTGTTTTTTTTCGATGCTCCCCGACCCCCCACCCACTGGAAATCGAGGGTAAATCTGAGCCTTCGGGTCGGGTTGGGGTGGTTTGGTGGGCGGTGACCCCCTGCCCCCCTCTGCGCGCCGCCAGGCGATCGCCCACGAGGCAGCCGGCTGCCCGCGCTGCCCGGCTCTCTCCGCGAGGGCCCACGGGGCGCGCGCGGGTCAAGAGAGCCCGGGGGGCCCCTTCGCCGCGGGGCGCGGGAGGAGGCCCTGCGCGGCAAGGGGCCGAGAGAGGCCTTCGGCGGCCGCTCCCGAGGCGGAGGGCCCAGAGCACCTGCGAATCAAGTGGCCCAAGGACACACAAATAAAATGATTCCCATATTTTCCAATATTTTCCATAGTTTCCTCTATTTTACCATATGCTCCCATATTTTCCCATATTTCCCTATATTTTCCCAAAGACACACAAATAAATACACACAAATAAAATGGTTCCCCATATTTTCCCATTTCTGGGTTTCCGTCTTCCCCCCACTTCCCCTATTTTCCCATATTTTCTGGGGATCGACGATGACTTGTGTCTGTGTGTGTTTTCCCCTCCTGAACGAAGAGCGCCGAGGCACCCCTCCAGAGCTGGGGCTGTTCTTGACCCTGATGTCAGCTCGGGCATAGCCCCCTACGGGCGGATTTGGGCGAAGAATGGGAAACAACAAAAAAGTACTCCAAACCAGTCACAAAAAAAACGTCCCGTGGTATCTTTAACTATTATTGAAGATTCCTCCTGTAGAGGGACAGGCCCGACTTAACCCCAGTGCCATCGGCAGTGACAGACACGCAGTGGAGCGGCGGGGGGGAGGCAAAGCGAACGAATTCCCTTGACCTCCAAAGCATTGCAACACGGGTTCGAGCACTTGAAGATGTTGTCACAGCTTTCGGCAGCTGGTGGCCCTCGCCAGACACCAGGACCGTCATGAAACTAGTCACATTGAACAGCTGGCTCCGGGGGAAAACGCCAGGGCTTCCAAAGACCCCGCACTGAAAAATCAAATCTCAGGGTCTGAGCCTGAGCGCCTTAGACGGGACTCTGACATTGACAGCGCTGACTGCTGAGAGGAAGGTCAACCACGGCAAATGCCAATGACCAACGCCATCGTGGAGAAGGAATGAGGCAGCAGGGAAGGGGTAGGAGGAAACAGGAAGCTGGGGAGCAGGGTGCGGGGAAGGGGGAGGGGGAGGGGGCCGGGGGAAAGGGGCAGGAGGGAGGGAGGGAGGGCGGAGGGAGACGAGCGAGAAAGGAGGAGGGGTGGAGGAGGGAGGAGGCTGGGTGGGCTGGTGAGCCCCCGCCGAGCTGGCATGCGGACGCCCCCACGGCACAGCCTCCTCTTGGCAGGGGGGGGGGGGCCACGGCCTGGCACGGGCTCGGGCGACCGTGCCGTGGCGGCTCCGGGAGCGCTCGGCCGCCTGCGCCAGGGGAGAGTGCTCGCGAGCGTGCTGGCCTGGGCTCAGGGCAGGCTCCTCCGCACGGTCCGCACCGCCGCCCCTTTGGACGCCCGACATGGGCACGGAGAGAATGGGTGCAATGCCCAACAACAAATGTTGCCCCAAACCGACAGCGGCCACTGTTGGGCAGGCGGCCCTCTGTCTCAAATGGACACAGGCCGCGGCGACACCAACAGCGAGCCCTGTTCAGAATGAACAGGAACTGCTGTTGGGCATTGCACCCACTCTTTCCGTGCCCATTTCGTTCGTGCCGAGTCCCGGCGAAGGTCGGCGGCGAGCGGAGGGGGGAGGGGAAGGAGGAGGAGAAGGCCTCCTCCCTCGGAGGGCGGCGGGGCTTCTCGGAGGCTTCTCGCGTCTCCCAGGAGTGCTTCCTGTGCGAGGCGGGGATGTATCCATATCCACCGCCTGGGAACCGACGTCCTGGTGCCCTAGCAGGCGGTGGGTATGGCTATAGTTCGGACCCCGGGGGCCCGAATGTGTCCATATCCACCGCCTGCCGAAGCTCCGAAAACTGACCCTCCGGGCGGAGGTCATGTATAAATTCCCGCCTCGGATTCTGGAAACTCCTCAGGAGGCCGGGGGACCTCCGAGGCCTCTGAGGAGGCCCCGCCTCCTCTCACTTCGCCCCCTCGCCGCCGAGGAGGGCGAAGCATCGACGGAGGCACAGCTCACCCGGACGCTCCCCGCGGCGCGGAGGGCCGCCTGGGCGGGGAGCTCCTGCCCATGAGCCCGCCCGGCCCCTCCTCTGCAACCGGGGGGGGGGGGCGCAAGAGTTATGCTGCCCCCAGCGCACTTGAGGACCAGATCCCAGGCATGGTTTCGGGCACCCAAACGCAGCGAAACGGCGTCGAGACGAGCCTCGCCTCCCAGGGCCCGACACGTGAAAACCCGAGAGTTTCGGCACGTCCCTGGTGCTCGAGTCTCCTTTTGGCGATCATGGGACATCATAACACCTGGGCATCGCTCGGACGCCCATTCCCCGTGCTTTTTTTTCGGTTTCGTGCGTGGCTTTTTCGCCAAACCATCAGGGATGCTCCTCGATGGTCCTCGCCGGAGGAGACATGCACACGTCCGAGCGACGCCAAAGTAACGCAGGAGGGGGAGCCGCGGGCGGGGGCCACGTCCGTACCCACGGCCGCTCGCTGGCCGGCCTCTCGCGGGCCGCGACCCCGTTGGCCGCGGCTGCCCCCCGCGCGGAGCGCCGAAAGCGAGGCCAGGACGGGGACAAAACCGGGTGAGGAGACAGCGAGAATCTCTGAGATCTTACGCGGCGTGAAAACGACCACGGCCACTGCTTTTCTTTTGTTGCCGCCTTCCAGCCCGCAGACACAAAGCAGCGGTTGTGGTCATCTTCGTTGAGCTTGGCACCAGGGAAATGACCACAGCCACTGCTTCTTTTTCGGCCGGCTGGAAGGCGGCGCAGACAAGAAGCAGTGGCTGTGGTCACCTTCCCGTCCCGCAGATCTGGCGGCACTGAAGGATGTGTCGGGCGCCGCGGCCTTCTCACAGCGTTCTGAAACGCTCTGGAACAAATTTGTCCTCGCCCTGGCCCCCTCCGCAGCGTGCCCGCGCCACCGCACGTCCGCGGGATCGCGACCCGGAATCCAGGCCGCGAGGGCGCGCGCGTGGCCGACTCCAGCGAAGCGGGCTCGGGGCAGGTGGGACCCACACGACCTGGGCCGGGCCAGATGGG